ATACAGAAAAACAGACAGACAAACAGTCAAAAATTCTAAAAAAACTATATTTTTGGCTTCGGTGGGAAAATCCACTGTGCCCTACTGCTTTTAAAATCTCTCTTTCTATCTATTTAATTTATGAACGGGAGTTGATAACAAGTTCACACGGTGGATTTTTTCCAATGAAATATTTTTTCGCTAATCTAAAAACTATGTTAATCGAATCGCGGACAAAGTCTGGTAAAACATGAAAATTAGTCAGTAATACTATGAAAGGTACGATGCGTATTTTCCTAAGCTGATCTTCTCAGGCTCCAAAATGTGTAACTATTATATTGTTTAATTAAACAATGGTTACAATATTGTTATTGTTATAAATTCTAAATATAATAAAGACATTGTTCTTCTCAATGTATAGGGCCATACTTGTTAATAATATGATTTGATTGAAGTGAAATTACTGTAATTTAAACAACTGTCCTTTATGTCTTTGCTGTGCAACAAATATGAATTCATAAAGCCAGAATCCAGAATCCAGTCTTTCATATTGACTTTTTACTTTTAATTCCTACGTACTTATAAGTTAAGAAGGTAGCCATTGATTTTATTGTTAATTTCGGGAAATTGGATACATTTCCCGAAATTAACAAGAAGTTTCTCGAGTTAACGACAGCTATTACGTACGTAGTCTGTGACTTGATCTCTAGACACATCATGCGTATATTGACCATTAATATGTCTGTATATTAGAATATTCCCAGTATGCTAGTTGCACCCATCTGTAATATTTATGTTTACGTCGACCTACATAGAAACAAGAAATACCCGCTTCAAAGAAATTTTTCCCTTTCCTTTACTTTAAACAAGTTTTCTAATAGAATCTGCATTTAAGCACCAGGTTTCTATACGATATCGGATATCCTGTGTTAGAGGTTTTTAAATTTATTGGGGTTGCCTTTATTTTTCAGAACTTTTGAAATGCTATATCCGTCTCTTCTTTTCAGTTCACTTTGTCGCTAATGATGAATTCTGAAGACAATACTACTTACTTTACGGGCTGGTTTTTTGTTTTAGGTTCTACGAGAAATATAAATATTTAAAGGCTCGAAACTTGGCTGACGCTGTTTGCATCTAGAAATATACTATGATATTTATCTTTACTATTTATCTATCAGTTAAAATTTCTGGAAATCAGTGTTCTAAATATGGTTTCCCTTGAACTTTATAACAGTATGCGATATTTTTAAAACAAATTTTCACTGCCAACTTAGAAGTTGACATATAAGTAGTAGGTAGGTAGGCATATACCTACATTGTAATGCAGTAAAACAAAATGATCTATCTAAAATTAAACGTGAACTAATAATATCATTGGAAAACAACTGTTCGTTATTTTTCTTCGAACAGAAATAAAGTTGTCGACCGGTCGAGTTAATGTTTTTTTTTCGGACAGATGACGAATATTGTGGAAAAGATTTTAACACTCATTTTACTTTTACAACTATTGAAAAGGTAGTTTCAAGTTTCCAACCTAATTAATATCTGCATACCTAATAATGTTAACCAATTGAAAAAAACCTTAAAAAATACCTACACGTCGAACAAAACTTATGGCTTTAGTATAATATGTATTCTATCCATCACCCTAACATCCCATAACACAAGCCTTACAGTGCTTACTTTGGGGCTAGGCTAATTGGTGTGAGTGTGGGATTTTTTTATTTATTTCATATATTTTTACTTCACCTATATCCAGTTTTCTTATAATAATGGTTCTAATATCCTAATAATGATTTATTACACAAATGTTATTTACAATAATAATATATACATGAACAATGAACCTAAAACTAAAAACCATAAAAAATATAATATAATAACTAAAATATATTATTAAAAGTAGTCCCTTTATAATTATAAATTACCTTCCTTTTCTCTTACATGATAAAGTTTTAAGTAGTTGTAAATCAATTAAGTACTTACTAGATCCAATCTGAGGCTAAAAGATACATGTTTGCGCTGAGGTGCCACGACAGCCGGCGAACCTTCGTAGAAGGCGGCTTCTTCCAACCCATAGTCCGCTTCAGGCTCCCCCCATTCCAGCTTCATAGCGCTGGGACTAGAACAAAGAGCAACAGTTTTAAGTCTTATATCATTACTACTTGGATTACTGCGTGGAAAAATTGGTTTCTCATACAAACTTTCACCCGCTTCTCACCCCCTTAAAGGGTGATTTCCAGAATAAAAACTATCCTATGTCCTTTCCCGGGACGCAAACTATCTCTATACCAAATTTCTTCTAAATCAGTTATGCGGTTGAAGCGTGAAGAGGTAACAGGCAGATAGGCAGACAGACGGAAAGACAGAGACACTTTCGCATTTATAATATTAGTATGGATTTCACAAAAAAACTTCCATTATTATCCAAAAGTACAGAATGCTAAAGAAAAATTATCTTTCAATTTACTTCGTTCTTAGCAGTCCAATGCTTAAAATAAAAATATATGAAATAGATTGCGACAAATGCTGACTTTTCCGTGCAGATTGAAAACATTGTTCGACATCTCGAGTGTAGTACTCAAATATATTATTATATAGTCGATATAAAATCTCAACATTAGCATCGAAACATCTTCGTGCCTTAAGATTATCAAGGCCTGTAACATCTATGGCTTCGCTGACCACAAGTGGAACAACTTGCCTATTGCGATGATCAAAAAACTCCTGTGACGCATCTACCCATCTCGCTCCTACGGCTCAGTAAAGTAGGAGACAATAAAACTTGAACGATAAGTCTCTTTTCAGTGTAAAATAACCTGTTTCCCGTCTTGCGATCCGTGAAGTCGATCTATTGAGCACATCAAGTTTTTCATATATTAAAGATTCTTGTGAAGTCTAGACTAGATGCTTAAGTATCCATTCTGTTCAAGTTGAAAATAATTTTCTTTTTACTACTAAGTCTTATTTAAAAGTCAATCATGATGTTAAACTCAGCATATATCTATGATGTACTAAGACAAGCACACGTTAGAGATTCTTAATCAATTCAATTATTTATTTATAACGAATCATATAATTTAGAAAAGATTTAAAAAATATATCAAATTAAAACATTTTTTTTTATCAAAGTCGGGCAGAGTAAGATTGTTTGATACATTTTTAAACTTATACCTTTTTGTAAGACACTAAACAGTTTTTTCCTTATTTAACCTTTATCGGCCGCCATCAGTTTTACGGAACTTATTAATAACCTATCAAAGTGATCAGAATTAGTTAACACTTTCGAATGTAACGAGTTGATCCGGCGGAAACGGTGCTCAAAGAAGACACATGTAGCAAATTTTGCCTATTGGATTTGTATAGGACTGCCCCGAAATATTTTCCTGGTCTTACTACCGTGAAGATAAGAATGAGAATGGTGTGCTATCGAAAACGTTCGGAGGTGGAGCAGCTCTGTTATTAGATAGCCAGAAGCGTTGTAGTAAATGTGTCGTCAAGCAGAATTCGGCCCTTCTGATGTGTCGAGACTTGGGAGTCGTTTCGGATAATATCCGGCGGATATGCAGGCCGACACCATCGGACATTATTGTAATTGAGACAGCGTGTCGATTTGTTCATTCGTTGGGCCGGTAATTAACTTGCGAGGGGAACTGATTCAGTGTGTACGCTTGAGGTAGTTTCAATGAGGTGCCACTAGTCTTGCAAGGGTTGCGTTACGAGTTTGGGGAGTGTTTGAATGCTCACAAATTTGATGCAGAAGTTACGGTTACAGATTTAACGCCTAATCTACATTTATTTATTACTAGGTACGTAGACTAAGAACTTAATTAAATCATGCAAATATCTCGCAAATCACTGAATTGCTTTCTATTGATTGCTAATATTAAACTATGAGAAAGAAAGGTAATAAGTACTTCATAAAGAAACCTACAGAGTTTAATTTAGTTTTTTCAAGGCATTATGTCATGTTATTCTTATAAGCTACATACTAATAAAAAAAACCGTTCTCTATGAAATAATCGAAAATATGCAGAATAAAGGTAACAATATTATTATGAAGTAAATAAGAAATAAGTAATTTATTAATGCACTACCAATTTGGTAGAAAGTTATAAACAATCAGCAAACTATGTAAATAAGAATGATATTGCGCCAAAAAAACTTTTGATCTTACCATTTCTAATTACTTTTTGATAAATTTATCATCGTTATCAGCCGTGTTGTGTCACAGTTCCATATCAGTAATATACATTATAGCAATCAGTTAAGGTAAATCCATCTACACAGTCGAAAAATCGATTATGTGTTCTTGTGATAAGATAAATTGAACAATACTAATAATTTATGCCGTCAATGAGTCTAATATTATGCCTCATGTGGTCGATGGCAAAATTTAAACGAATCAATTTTATTTCGAGAAATATCCACGTTAACTGAAGACAATACGCAGAACCTGGATTGAATAATTCAACACATTTGCCGTAAGGCAGTTGCCTAAAATAACGACACGCGTTTGCTATATAATCGGTAAATGATAAAATTCTGACACAACATTTAACACTGTCATTATCCGTTTGTAGTCTAGACCCCACCAAACAGTTAGCCGTTTATTCGCTATGCATTGGAACTGGAGCAATAAAATCTTCCTTATCCCTTGGTGATAATGCTGAGTATAGGTTGATAATACCAGTCTCATTTAGGGATTGAGTTCCCTTTCTACAGAACACTGACTTGGTAACAGATTCACACGCAATTTCGCATGTCGGTCGACTTCGCATGACGGATACCTAATCAGCTTATTTACGTCCGAAGAGAAAGCAGACGCCAATGGTCTGTCGTGTTGGTATAAGTAAAGATAAGCCAATTTCTTGGAAACACAGTCCCAAGATCTTAGCACAAAAAGTTTCCATTCTACTTTGTTAAAAGATAATGATAAAACGTATATTAAACTCTTTTATTCTATGGAGGAAGTAAAGAGGATATATTGCTTGTACTCATGAATAATGTTCTTTGAAAGATAATCATTGAGTTGACATAATGACATTTAATAGGTAAGTTTGAGGTAAATTTATTTACGAAGGTAACAATTTGAAAGCCGATAAAGCAAATGGCAAAGAGATTTACGAAGACTACAATCAACTGGGTGGAACTAGAGAAACGAGTACCACCAGAACAGAAAGCAAGTTTCTTACTGTTTAAAGGAAAAGCTGACGCTTATTTAAGGCGGTAAAGTTGATCTAGAATATACTTATTAGACATTATAAAAAATTAGTTTTAAAGTGAATTATTGAAATGTTACAAGTACCAGAAAGTAAAAAGAAACAATTGCTTTTTCTCCATGCGAGCAATGTGTAGTACGCAGGAAACACTTTCGGTTGTACTTAGAGACGTCAATAAATAGTCACGCGTTGTCTTATTCTAATGTCATCGTAAAGAAAGAGACAACAGTATATAAAAACAAATTGATGTCTCTCAGTACGGGCGTTAAACTTTAGGTTATGTAGTGTAATGTAACTTTTCCAAGAATGACATTTTTACTGTAGTTAATCCTATTTAGTTAAAATAATAGTATTTTTTTTTGTAACCAGCGCTATTGGCCATTTATTTCACTAAATCAAATTTAATTTATGTAATGCTATTGAAGGTATCGATACATAAAAAATAATAATTCGTACTGAATGACCATAGTCGTCTACCACAATACCTCAAATGAGCCATTTTCAATAATAGAGTTGAACCTTTTAGAGTTCAAGCAAATCCTCCTGAACCGCCAAAGATCGATTGGGAAGCATACAATAAAATGGTACCTGTACCCGGTCTCGTAGAAAAACTGAAGGCAGAATATGTAAAGTTCAAGGTCCCCTTTCCCGAGGACAAATTGTCAGTGAAAGTTGACGAACAATGGAATGCATTGAAGCCTGAAATAAAAAAGTTCTGCGCTGAATTGCAGAAAGACATTGACATGTAAGTACTGATTACTTAGTTTCTAATATTATTAATTGTTAAGAGTAAGTTTTGAATTCCATTAATTTGAATTGGTAAACCTTTTTGTCAGGGCAAATAAAGAGCTTTCTCGTGTGAAATCGCTACCAAAATTCGAGGAGATGACACTGGAAATGTTTGCGGAGATGTATCCCCAACAAGCACTTAATCCGGTTGAAAGGCCCACATACTGGCCCCACGATGATGCAGAACAATTAGACTATGTGCCACCAGTTCCAAAGGCGGACAAAAAATGAGAATTACACTGGTCAAATTGCTTTCGGTTGTTCTTTTCATGAATTTGCGTTGTTACTTTGTGAATTTATAAATTCTTTTGCCATTACTATGGGTTATAATCATTATCTATCTATCTATCTTCAAGGAAAGGCTATCTTTTAAATTATTATAGAACGAAAATTTCAGTACAAATCTTTAAGTAAGGTAAATGAGAGTATTTGACTCGTGTATACGTTTGGATTGTGGACGTTATAAGACAAGATTCGTATCCTATAGTTTCTATAGAAAACTTATATCTTAGCAAGTGCTATGATAACTGTAAGTTTTATTGCACAAACAACTTTGGAAAAACGTGATTTTTTTTTGGGTATTTTTAGTATGCCTACCTTCGACACGAGAAATTTCGCATTTCTACACGGAAGCCGGGGTCCCAAGATTGTGAATTATTATCTGTAGATGCAAGACAGAAGGGTTGTCGACATTCGGGCTATAATTAGCCCTGCACTCAGGGTCGCGGGGACATATGCCAACAACGCGCCGGCAAATTATGATTGATGATCGGGTTGCGTTTCACTTCGTCTTGTTTCAATCTATATTTATACACCGTAACTAGATACTATACGATTAGAGTTTATAAATAAACTATGCAATTAATAGATTGATGATCGGTGAACGTAAGCATATGTACACATATATCTAAGATATCTTTTGAATGCAAATAAGGCATCAGATATGTGAATCTGAATGGAAAAGATTATGATTTGTAAAAATATTTGAATGCTAAGATTTACATTACGAAATTAGTGAAGTAATTCCGTGACATTAATTTCATCAACAATTTCTCGTGTGATGATTTAGGCACCTTCTCACCGGGTCTCGTTTCGTTTTCGTTTCTGTACCGAATCAGTAAAGATTCTTTACCTAGTGCATGTAATTAATGAGCTTAAACTTGATTAGCTTTTGTAAATGTGAATTTTCTGATTGATCATCGATACGAGTTGACCGTTTCGGTACAAATGCGTGCGCGCATGTGTGCCGTGCAACCGACGCCGACGCCCATTATGAAGGATTGGCGCGGACGCGAGTTCCAAGAAAGCTTCGGTAACCTAAGTTAGCACTTTCTTAATAACCTCGGTTTGTGTATTCAGCGCACAGCTAATTTTATCTTGGGCAATAAAACTCAAAACGCATATACCGTTTCAATGCAACATTTGTTTACAAAATAGAGAAACTGTAACAATTTTGGCGAGGTTTGTGTTTCAATTGGTATTAAATTATATAAAACGAAAATCTATTTGGAAACAAAAATAATTGCCAATTTTATGAAATACTAAAAGTTACAACAGGTCTTTAGACTACACGTGAAGTGGATTTGCATGACCCTAATGAACTGAGTGGTAAAGAATTCTCTCGGAGTCATGATGGAAAAAAGAGAACTTCAAAAATGCGTTATTAGTATTGAAATAGTGAACTCTTAAGTGCTATATCCGTTTGGTATGCGGTTTAGAGGTGAGATGATAGGATCAATCGGCAGCACGCTCGGGACGGACATCCTATCGACAGAAATGGAACTCTCCGATGTGATTTGTTCAAGTTAACCCTGCCAGTCACTAGAATTTTGTTTCGGTTTTAGGAACTCCGCTCGTCGAACAATATGTTACTATATACAGAGTCATGCATGACTTAGTAATACCTAATCCAAGACTTTATTTATTATCTCATTAATATGAGGTTATTATTATTGTAAGTGGTTTTTATAGAAGAACAGGAGTTCTAGTATAAGTGATAGTGAATAAACACCCAAATTTCTTGATGATGACGTTGTGACGATGGGCTGTCGATCAATCTCTGAACAGCAACTTAGACCAATTAACGCCAAATGTGGAATCATTGTGCTCTCATAATCATCCTTGCATAAAACCTCGCTTGATATTTTTAGGACAAGTCTACTTATGATGATATTACTACATCATCATCATCACTAATGTCCCCACTGCTGGGGCACGGCTTTCAGTATTGGTGAATTATGGAGATTGGGCCAAAGTCCACCACGCGGCCACAGTGCAGTTTGAAGGGTGATAACCATTTCCGATTTCGCCAGAATCAACGCATTAACGTGTCTCTTTTACGGAGGAGCTCGTAACAATTAAGTTTTGGTTACCCATCATATGGCCGGTCATAGGATGGATAACCAAAAATTGTGAAAGTTGCTTAGCTTCCTCGATCACAGACCGAACGTGCTAACCACCTGTGCCACTTGCTTTTCTCTCAACTACTAAGAATTTAATATTGAACAAATTGTGAACTCGTTCTTCCCTCTATAATATATATGAACAAATTGTGACAAACATAGAATTTCAAGAATCTGATGGCTATTAGGTCTTAAATGTGCAACGTCATAAACATAGCGACATGCGCGCACATGAACTGCTGGCCACCTGTTGTTGGTATCTATTTATAGACCTGCCCCTCGCCCCTTTCTCGGCCTTTCGACCATTCATGACTCTGTGACTAATGCTCGGGGCAGTCGGATTGTTTGACTTAACGATTTGAAGTAATGGCTTCTTGAGATTCTAACGATATTCATTCCAATGTTGAGTACTTACCATACTGACGTGAACAAACATTTACAGGGTTCACGTTTAGCAGTATGTGAAATCTGCAAGTATTTGGGTATACCTAGATTGTAAAATATACTTTTCTCAAATAATTAAAGCTTGGAGCGTAAAATCAAATAGCCTACCTATTTGATTTTACGCACCGAGCTTTAATAACCAGATGAGGTAAAAATTACAAACGAAAGTTTTCTAAGCTGCTGCAGTACTTAACTTTAGTGAAAATGTACACGATCGGGCTATGACATCCCATCCACTATAGTTTTCAGCACCGTTAGCACGAACCCTTATTAAATTCGAATAGGTAAATTCGATCTTGATATGTGTCAAATGTCAAGAAAGAAAGAAAGAAGTGTATGGAAATTATAACAGCGCAACAACGGACGTAACGAGAATTAAAAATCTTCCATACAAAACTTCTATCCAGATCAAATTCAACTACTTATAGAATTCAATATTGGTTCGTGCAAGGGGTACGGGTCACTTAGGCTCGGGTAATTCTTAATGAGATTGACGACGATCGTCCGCGTATGAAGATTGCAGCTAATAACATTTGCTATGTTAGAAGTTCCTGGAATATGTATGGTTAGAGAGGTCTACGAGGTAGAGAAATGGATACAAGTTACCCTATAGCTATTAACGGGATTGTTACCATGTACCGTGTTGTCGTTCCGCGATCTGATACTGTGAGTATTGTGTGTCGGGTACAGGTGCGAGTGAATAGTGAGACTGTGACCAGTGGTAGGGGTATCAAGCGCAGTGAAAGACGTCGTCAGAGGGTAGACCGATATGTCTGCCAATAACATCTTTACCCGCATTTACTTCAGTTACTCCGTGATCATTGCGCTTGCAACAGTGCTGAAAAATCAGAGACTCATCATAACAAGGTACATGGTAACAATCCCGTTAATAGCTTTAATGTTAGTGACCATGGAGGTTTAAAACAATATACAAGTTACCTTAGGTAGACTGTGACCGCTTACCGTCTGACGAGTCAATAAACACCTATCAACTTAATTCTTGCTAAAAGATAAGTCACCTAATACATAAAGGTCTTTCTATCTGAGAGTCTCGGTCTTAAATATTTCGGGTCACGGAGAATTTATGGTCATTGGAGAATATTTGCACAGTTCAGTTCCTACTAACACTCTCTCTCTCTCTACTCTGGGTTAATACAGTATAGGAAAACAAATAATGTACTTAAGTAACCAGTATCACCAGAAGTTGTTTCTATTGCACCTTCTCTTTATTTGCGCTAAACAAGATTCTAGAGATTTATCATCCTAACATGACATCATGTTTGTCTGACAAATCGTTCTCCGAATAGTCCGAATACAAACTGCGAGTGACACAGTAAAACTTTTTTATCCATTGCAGGCAACATAATCATTTGTTTGTATTTATATCTCAAATGTTCGAGATAATTAATATGTTACCTTGGCCCACAGCAGATCGACGCCCATGCATTAAGTATATAGTCGAATAACTGGTTCGGTGCCGACTTGGAGAACGCTATAATGTCACCGAATAACATGAAATAGTAGTATTTCACATGGCGACAGTACCCCTAGCACGAACCAATATCGAATTGATTTTTAGTTCTCGTTACGAGCTTTGTGCTGCTGCTGTTCAAGTTTCCATACAAAATTTGACATTGACATTTCGCACCCGCAAACGTTACGAATTCGATATTAGTTCGTACTAAGGGTACAGTTTTCTTTCACCCGTTTCCCTATGCGATGCGATAATCTTAAGCCCCCTTATTAATAAACAAGGAATAAGCTTAGACTAGTTACGCCGTGTTTTGTTCATGTCATTCAAATTCCATTTGTCATTCAATAGACAAAGATAAAACATGGAGTAACTAATCCATGTATAGTCTTCGTTTATTAATAAGGAGGAAAGTGTGAATTGATCTTAATTAGAGTCGTACTCAGTCGACAGCATCAGTTTTAGTCCAGGTTTCACTTTAGTCTACCCTACGTTTTGTAAATATAAGACGATGTGATTATAAAATTCCAACAATGTGCTAACTGTACAAATGTTGTGTTTGATCGTGCACTTTGCTACGCGTAGGCATCGAGTCTCCCGCCCCCGTAAAATTATTATCTAATTCGTGTGTTGTTAGGATGTTACAACATACAAACAAATATAAATAAATTGCGATATTTTTAATTGTGAAAACAAATGAACAGCTTTTACATTTTTCATTTCTTGATAAGTTTGAAAATGAAGAACAAAGAGGTTTCCATTTTTAAATTTCTAATTTTATTTTGGGTAGGTATTTTTAAGCGATAGTTATTTAAATTCATATATGTACTTCACATATATAGACGTATATTTACACACAGCTGACTATTTACTGACCATAAAATATAAAATGCAAGAAATTGACCATTTAGAAAAGTTATCATTTTTGTTTGTTGTAAAGTTAAATTTAGTGTAAAACACGCGCACACTACTGGTTTATTGACATTTTGTATGTACGACT